CCGGCTCTGCCCCAGCCCTCTGTGCCTAGAAGGCGTGTTCACGCCCTGGGGGGCGGGTTCTGGGAGGAAGGGAAGCTGCGGGACAGCAAGGTGGCTGCAGCTCATTGGTGAGCCTCCATCTGCCCGGCACGCTTGAGCTCCGGGGGCCCACCCAGCGCCCCCTCGAGAGTAAGTTCCCCCAGAACCACAGTAACACCGTATACTCGGTGCAGCAGGCAGAGCACCAAGTCCACGGCAACAGGAAGTCGCGTGGGCGGCGTCAGGGCCCAGTAGAGGGCACTGGGATGGCATAGAATGGGGACATGAGACAGCCCCGGAGAGGTTGGTAGTGACAGTCACATAACATGGCGACTGCTCCTGAAGCTGCCAAACTGCGCAGCCCTGGCCGGTGTCGGCGCGGGTGCTGTGGGAAGCTCCCTGCTCTGTTTCACCGAGGTTACAGTGAACCGGTAGTCACCGGAGGTGCAGGGGCGGGAAGCACACAGGGCCACGGAGCCTGGGTGCTGGTCGGTGTCCTGGGGTTCGCAGGTGTCCTCCTCTGACTCCCGAGCAAGGTCGCCCTGGTGCTGCCCAGTGAGGACCCTGGGGCCCTGGGCCTCCCGAGGGGGTATGGCAGCGCCAAGGGCACAGGGTGCTCGGCTGGCATCCCCAGTGGGGAGGCGGAGTCCACGTGGGAGGTTCCCTTATGCCCCGTGTCCTGGGAGGCGGCGCAGTTGGTGGCAAAGGCTGGAGCAGGTCTGGTGGCTGAGGGACGGCAGGCGTGTGGCCCTGCCTCACGGTGACGGGGACGAGGCCAGGGCCCCCATGGGGCCGCCTCTGCCCTGGGCACCTGGGCAGCTGCCAGCCGGGCTCTCCTCCCTGTAGGGCCTGACCTGGTGCTGCTGGGTGGCAGGGATGGCGATGGGTTGGCCAGCCAGGGACACCCAGCATGATGTCCAGCGGGGAGTGGCCAGGAAGGGACCTTGTGCATGGGCAGGGCGTACTCTGGGCTTCCCTGTTCTGGATGGTCTGACCACTCCGCCCTGTGTCCTGTGAAGGGGTCGGCAGGGCGCCCACTGTGGGCGCAGGTGATGTCTGCTTGGGGGAGACGTCAGCGCTGACTTGAGCGACAGTCCTGGTTGCCACGGAGCCGACCCAGGGTGCCAGCCCTGATGCCCCGTGCTGGACTGGGCCGCCCGGCTGGGGGCCGTAGTGGGGTGGCCTTGTCACCAGGCCCTGCGAGGGGAGTCCTGGCCAGCCAGCGGCACACTGCTGGACACAGGGCAGGTGGGGCTGCCTGGCAGCTGGCTACCTCGCTGCCAGCTGGCCTGGACTCTCCTCACCTGGGGACCCTCCGGCACCGCGAGTCCGTCTCTGCCCCAGGCTCCCCTTCGCTGGGGCTCCCTGCTCCCTGGGTGTCCCTGAGTCCCCACCACCCGCGCCCCGGCCCACTCCCTTATCTGGGTCCACCCTGCACCGCACCGGGGAGCCCGTCCCCATGGCAACGGGGCAGATGGCGGCTGCGATTAGCCCTCCCCCTCCTGCAGCTCAATCCGTCTTTGAAATTAAATCAGGGCGATAACATCGCGAGCAGGGAGGCAGGAGGGGTGCGCCCCACCCACTGGCCAGGCGAGGGGGAGGGGTGGGTGGCGCAGACTGCCCAGTGACCTTGGCCAGGTCTTTCAGCCTCCGAGACTCAGTGTCCCCGTCTGTAAATGGGGTGAGCGGTCTCCCAGCAGAAGGCGGGTGCCCACGGGGCCCAAAATCTCACAACTGCCCTGCCGGAGCCCTGAGACTGATAGCACCCCAGAGCTGCCCTGGGACTGACATGTGTCACCCGTGTTACTGCTTCCTAGTACAGGAAGGATGTTGCCTTTTTTGTGTGTGGTACTGGGGGTGGAACACAGGACCTTTACACTGAGCTGTGTTCCCAGCCCTTTTGTTTGCTTAATTTTGAGACAGGTTTGCTAAGCCACTATGTACCCCAGGCTGTTCAGGCTGGACTTGAACTTGTGATCCTCCTGCCTCAGCCACCCAGAGTGCTGGGATTATAGATGTGTGGCACCACGCCCAGCTGGAAGAAGGTTAGTGAAAGCCATCATTTCCACACTTTCCCCAGGAGGATTTGGGTCCCTTCAGACACCCAGAGCCATGAAAGCCTATAGGATAGCCCAATGGTACTGGAGACAGAGGGACAGAAGGTGTTAGCTGCATGGGTTGGGGTGTGGGGCTCCAGGCGAGGGGATCTATATCCACCAACATTGAAGGTGGGAAAGTGGGTGCAGTGTAGAGTTAGGGGGCAGAGAAGGGGCCATGGGGGTTCTGGGAGGAGGTGGCAGGCGGCAGACACAGCCAGTGCAAAGGTCCTGGGGCAGGAACAGGCCAGGTGTGTGTCCCCAGCAGAGAAGCTGGGGGAGCCAGGAGGTCACAGGCCAAGTGATGTGGGCTCACTGTGGGGCATCAGCATGGGTGTCCCGGCCCTGTGCAGCCATCCAGGTGAGATGGAGTGGGGCCCCCCACTGCCTCTGTCCCCCCTCTAGCCACATGGTCAGGCCTAGAGGCCCACAGGAGATGACAGTGGCCTTGGCAGAGGCAATAGCACCCTGTGGGCGCTGAAGGGGTGGGGAGTAGGCAGTGCCACGACTGGGAGCCCCTTCTTCGCTGGGCCCCCCCAGACTCCTCTTCTCCAATGGTAAAACAGGGCTCAGCATCCGTGAGGGCTCGGGCTGCTGGGGTCACGGACAGCCACAGGAGGAGCATGGGGGGCCACAGCAGCCGGGCTGTGCTGGACAGGAAGCCGTATCCTGCGGGGCTCCTGGGGTGCGGCTCCTGGGGTGCTGGGCACAAGGGGCCCACCTCCCCAGCCGGCTGTAATCGCATTTGCCCAGCAGCTGTCCCAGCTAAGCGGCCACTTGACACGGCCACAGCGGCCAGTGATTGGAGAAATTAGAGAACTGGGGGGACAGAGGTCTGGGTCGGCAAGGACAGAGGTCAGGTGGTCAGAGCCGTGTGGCGCTTTGATGAAGTTAGTCCCGGGGCAGCACGGGGCATGGGCTCCGACCTCCTGCGGGCCGGGCCGGCCCAGCTTCTAGTAACGCAGTTATGGGCCTGCAGCTGCCACCGGGAGCCAGGCGGCCATGGCACCCATTCTGAGGGCCCCAGAGAGCTGACGCTCCTCCCTGCCCGTGTGGCCGAGCGCCCAGCTCTGGGTCCTCCCTGGGCCCTTGGTCAGCCGGCTCTGCACCCTCTAGCCCAGGCCTCTGGTGTCCCCTTACCTTCTGCTCCGGTGGCGTCCTCTGAGCACAGCCCCTGCTGTTCCCGGGAACAGTGTCCACACTGTTTATCGGGTACCCGCGAGAGGTCAGATGCGGAGCAGGGAGCTGGCACATAGCGGTGACCCTGTCGCCAGCCGGCCCTGAGCCCCAGACCTGGGATCACCTCCTCCTCTGCCTGCTGCTCCAGCCCCGAAGGAACCAGGAGTTAGAAGCACGCAGGTTCTCCTCGCAGACATGTTCACGTGCACACACGCCCCCCCACACACCTGCTCACGCACGTGTGTGTGCACCCACCCACACATGTGTACACGCACACACCTACCTTGGGCTGTTGCTGCAGCGCTCATAATAATTGTTATTTTAAAGGCAAAGCCATTTGGAGGCAGTGGCTGGGTCTGCCTCTGGCCAGCGTGGGGCCCCTCTCCTTCCCTCATTCCCCTTCCAGTCCCGCGGGCAGTGGGCCCCGTCTGGGAGGGCCGGTGCTAAATGTGACTTCATGTCCTGCTCTGGCCTCCGGCCTTTGCCTTGCTGCTTCCACCCAGGTCCCCGTGGCCCAGGGCCTGAGTCCACTCCCCATCACCCAGCTCTAAGGTCTCCCCTGCCCCCCACCCACGCTTTGCCCTCAGCATAGCTGTCCGTGCTCCTGTCCCACGTTTGTCATCCCCGGGATCCTAACTCCATGAGGGGAGGAATCTGACTGACCAGAGTGATATCCCAGGGCCTAGATCGATGTCTGGCACAAATAGGTGTTTGATTACTGTTCCTTCAATTGCATGGAGTTAAAAGGACCAACCTGTGCTTGTGGCACCCCCTTGAAACCTCAACTACTCAGGAGGCTGAAGCAAGAGGATCCCCAGTTCCATCTCACCCAGGCTACTTAGAGACTTAAGAAGACTGCCTCAAAATAAAAAGAGTTGCAGATACAGCTTAGCATGAAGGACCTGGGTTCAATCCCTACAGCACTCAGGAGGCTGAGGCAGGTTGGGGTGAGCTCAGCAGTCAGGCATGGGCTTAGCCTGTGGGAGGCCCTGGGGTTAATCTTCACATCATGAAAGTACAAATCAAATACATAAAAATACCTGATACAGTTCTAAGTTTGAGATTGTTTTAAAATAAACCTTTAAAATACACATTTAAAAAAGGCAGGCTCACAGCACTCAGGAGGCTGAGGCAGGAGGATCCCTGTGAGTTCAAAGCCAGCCTGAGCTACAAAGTGAGTTCAAGGCCTCCCTGAACTACATAGTGAGACCCTGTCTCAAAAAAGAATAAAATAAAATTTAAAAATACAAAGACCAGCACTCAATAGGCCTCATAATCAGAGCACAATCCCCTTCTCTTCTTCCTCCCATAATGGGGAGCTCACCACCCCCAAGGGTGTCTGCCTTGGACAGAGCTCTGCCTCCCTGGGCTGGGGCCTCATGCCAACCCGCTTCCCCCACCCGGGCGTGCAGGACTAAGCCTGCAGTTGCTCATCAAGACAGCACCACATGCAAGGGACCTTGGGCTGTGGGGCGACCAGGGCAGTGCGGGAACGGAGGGGCAGACGGCTGGCTTGGCTGGAGCTCAGGGAGGCGGGAGGGCTCTGAGGCTGCAGGGAGCTGGGCAGGGTCCCCATGAGGAGGATGGGTGGGTTTCTCTGCTCAGAGCAGAGGGTGCCCTGGACAGGTAACGCAGGCGGGCATGCGACGCCCTGCAGGGTCCCCTGAGCCGCGCCCACCCCACAGAGCCGGCCGGGGGCCTCGCGGGCTCACTGCCAGGCGCCTTTATTAACATCAGCTACCGTCGGGGCCCAGGGCGCAGCTGGGCCTCGGCTGGCGGGGCTCACTTGTTGTCCACCCGCTTGAGCTGCTCCTTGCCGTTGATGGTCACTGAGCGGAGCTGCCCGTCCTGCTCCACCTCCACGCGCTCCTGCCCGTTCTCCACGATGCGCTTCGTGGTCACCTTGTGCCCGTTGACCATCTCGGTGGACGACATCACCGTCTTGAAGCCTGAGCCGCCTGCGCCGGAGCCCCCGAAGGTGGCGGCAGAGAAGGAGGTGCGGGACGCACCGCGGCCCAGGGTGTCCAGGGACGAAAAGGCCTCCATGAAGGCCGGGAACTCGCCGAAGCCGGAGAAGGCGCCGTGCAGGCCGAGCCCCCGGCCGCCGCCGCCGCCGCGCTCGCTGCCCCCGAAAGGGCTGTCCCAGAAGTCGAAGGAGAAGGGATCGAGGCCACCGAAGAACTCGCGGAAGATGTCCTCGGGGTTTCGGAAGGTGTAGCCGCTGCCGAAGGGACTGCGGTGCGGGGCGTTGGCCCCGCCGCCCGCCCGCCAGCTGTCGCAGCCCGCGCGGTCGTACACGGAGCGCTTCTTGGGGTCAGACAGGACCTCGTAGGCCTCAGACACCTGCTTGAACTTCTTCTCGGCCTCCTCTTTGTTGTCAGGGTTCTTGTCGGGGTGCCAGCGCAGGGCCAGCTTGTGGTAGGCCTTCTTGATGTCGTCGGCGGAGGCTCCGGCCTGCACACCCAGCACCTCATAGTAGTTAGTCATGGCGAGGTGGCCAGGGGGTGGCCGCGGGGACAGGACGAGAGGCTGCGGCTGGCTGGGTGGCTCCCTGTGGCGGTGATGGGGCCCCGGCGGAAAGCTGTGGGGTCAGGCGAGACTGTGCCCCTCAGTGGGCTGAGCTCGTCATAGTCCCCGTCTGCAGAGGGGCAGGGGAGGGGAGGGACAGAGCTGCAGGGGCCGGGCCGCAGGTCTCTGGGGCTGGGGCCCGGCCTTTGTGACATCAGCTTCCAGGGCGTGGCAAACCCCACCCCCGGCTGGACCAGGCAGAGCTGGGCACACGGGGCCGGGCACACAGGGCTGAACCAGAGACTGAGCCAGAGGAGGCACCCGACGCAGGCTCCGGGCTGGGAGGTCTTAAAGGTCGGGGCAGGGGCCCAGGGAGAGAGGAAGGATTCCCGGGACGCAGGTCATCACGTCCTCTGGGCCCAGTGGCCAGCTTGCTGCTGGATAGCAAGCAGGCCTGAAGTAGGGGGTGGCGGGAGTTTATCTTGCACCCTGTTATCTCACCAGATCCTCAGGGGTCAGCGAGTTCCACGCAGACAGGCATGTGTACCAGCATGGCATTTGGCGAGCATGTGTTGGATGAATGAAGCTCAGAGACGTGCAGCAACCTGTTCAAGGTCACACAGCAAGTAGGGGAGAGGAAGGTCGGAACCCAGGGCTGTCTGGGACTGTTGTGGAAGGCAAGTTCCTAAAAGATCCCACTTGATGTTGGAGAGGAAGACGGACACGGATAATCATAGACGAGTGAGTGCTCTGGGCTGAGCAGTGCCCCCAGCCCCCCAAAAACTGCGTTCCCCTCTGAACCCCTGGAAAGCCAGTGTGAGCTTATTTGGGAAAAGGATCCTTGTGGGTGCAGAGATGAGATTATCTGGGTTACCTGGGTGGGGCCTGAGTTCAACAAGCGAAGGGTGATCTGGAGACAGACTCAGGTGAGAACCACCCCAGGAGAGGATGAAGCAGGAATGTCTCCCTCAGAGTGCAACCCCACTGACAAGCTGGTTCCACACTTGCGGCCTCCAGAACCGTGAGAGAATAGATTTCTGCTCTTTGTAGGAACTTTGTGTTTGTGTTTGTTTTTGTTCTTTTTGAGACAGTTCAAGCTTTCCTTGAACTCCCTCGCCCGAACTCATGGCGACCCTCCTGCCTCAGCCTTGGAGTGCTGGGATTACCGGTATTTGCCACCATACCCAGCAGATCTCTGTTCTTTGAGGCCCCCTGGTTTGTGACGTCTGTTACAATGGGCCTAGAACAGGGCGAATGACATAGCGGAACTGCAGCTGACAACCCTGCCGGCAGCACCCCCTACCCTGCGCCACCCTGACTGGGATCACCCTTGCCAGGACCCAGCCCTGCCAGTGCCACAGGCGGGGCTGCTGCTCCTGCTGGAAGGTTCTGCAAGTTCCCAAGCACCCTCTGGAGAGGCACGGGGATGGATCGAGCGGCTCTGCGACATGGCAGGTGGTGACGATGGCTCTGATGACCCGTACAAGAGGGACAGTGCTGCAGCGGGTGGGGTCACGGGGTCGGCGGCACTCAGTTACCCGTTAGAGGACGATGGCGGGGAGGCGGTCGTGGTCAGAGTAGACACCAGAGCGGGAAGGACTCACCACGGGAGCGGTGGGCGATGGTGACTTTGGGGCCCTGGGGTAGGGCTCGTCCTTGGCCTCAGCAGCAGGCCGCCGCTCCCATCTCGCACCCTGGAGCGCAGGAGGGCGGGAGGGCGGCCAGAGCCCCGTTCCTCCCTCCGAGTCCAGGCAGAGTCGCCAGCCTGAGGCTGAGCACGCACGGGAAAGAGGCGGTCGCAGACCTGTGACGTGCGGAGGCGGTGGTGGTCCCCGTGCCACCTTGGGGCTCCCAGCTTTGGCACTTGGAGGCGTCCTGGAGCCCGGGGACCCCAGCTTTTCGGTGTGCTCTGGGCCCGCATCCTCCCCACACCGTCCTCCGTCCCCAGGTCAGCCGAGGACGACAGCTGTGTGAGCAGGTCACCCTGCTGAGACAGTCAGTGGCTGTCCTTGTCACAGCACTGGTGGCCCCATGCAGAGGGATGGCCGCGATGCAGGAGGCAGTGTCAGAGGTGACTGGCGGAGGAGGTCGCGGTAGCCATGGAGGCTGAGTGGGGGGTCGGTGACCAAGGAGGCGGATGGTGTTGCTAGTGGTGGCCGTGCTGGTGGCCATGGTCACGGTGACTCTGGATGCAGCGGTGATGGTGACGATAGAGATGGGGTGACGAGCGTGGTGGTGTTGGCAATGCCGACCCCAGTTGAGGTGGAGGTGGCGATGCCAGCGGCGGCGGTGGTAACGGTGGTGACACCTGTGACGGCGCTCTTGGCAGTGGCGGGGATGCCCCAGAAGGGAGAGAGTGGCGCTGGCCCCAGGGATGACATCCCCTCCCGCAAGGACTTTGAGGGTTCCACAGCCCAATGTGTTTGAGGGTCCCCAGGGGCAGCAGGGGACCCCCGCCCCTGCCCCAGGGTCTGTGGGCAGCTCCGAGGCCTCTCTCTTCTCCAGGCCATTGTCCCCCCTCGCTGGCAGGTGGTGATCCCCTTCCAGGAGTCGCCTCCCTGGCCTCAGCCTCTGAGGTCCAGCGTCCCTGGCCGCAGGCCACCCTGGAGCCCACCCCCTGAGCCACAGCCTGGAAAGAGAACAGACCTGAAGAACCAGGCTGATGGACAGTGCCTGACCCGCTGCCCAGGGCTGCCCAGAGAGGGCCGGGCACACCCAAGGTCACACAGCAGTCCCAGGAAGTCCTCCCGGGAAGCTGATGGGCTGATTAGGCAGACGATTGGTATTCTGAGCAGCCAGAGGCCCCTCTGTGTCTCGGTAATTAATGGAGTAGCTTTTTAAAAGGATTCTAATCACCCCCGATGCTATCTGCTTATCACTAGCGTCCCTAATTAGATGATCCTGGCAGTCACTCGGCTAATTCCCTCCAGCCCCACGCAGCCCTGCCCGCCCGGGGAGGCCCCCGCCCTTAGTCCTCCCCGGCCTGGCCAGATGGGCAATTTGGGGCCTGTTGCCCCTCAGGGCCCTGGTGCTCTAACCGCATTACCTCCAGGATGGATGGGTGACAGCGTTGGGTGGATGGGCCGGTGGGTGGACGAGTGGCAGCAGGTGAGTGACAGGACCGAGTGGCAGACAGCTAGGAGGGTTTGAATCCGAGGGTTTGAATCCAAGCTCTGGCACTTCCGAGCTGTGTGTTGTTCGGGCAGTCACTTAACCTCGCTGGACCTGTTTCCTCTTCTCATCTGTGCAGCGGGAGCGATAACTCACCCCGCCTTCTAAGCGCGCTGGGAGGACAGCTCAGAGCAGGCCCCGCATTCGCTAGCGTCCCTCAGGGCGGGTCACGGGTGGGCTGGCAGACAGACTGCTGAGGAGTAAGGGGTGGCTGGGTGGGCGGGCGCGGGTCCGTGGGCTGTGTGCTGGCCCTGAAGAGCTGGCCGCGACTGGGCATGGAAGGGACATAAACGCCTAGTGGGAAGAGGGAGTCTGGACGGCTTCTCTTCTTCTCCAGAGCTGGTGCAGCCATCTCAGCTCCGGCCTGGCATCGACGGACTCCTGCCTCCCGGAAGGCTTTCCGTCCGCCCCCAGCTGGTGGCAATGCGTGCCGCGTGGGTGCTGTCCCTTTCCTGAGGTTGCAGCCCGGTTCTGCCCTTCCTGGTGGCCCACAGGGTCTCAGGGCTCAGCTTTAGCCCTGAGTGGAGGTTTCCCGCCCACCTGAAGGCATGGTCTTCCGATTTGCATATATATGCACTCATCCGCACTGGCAGAGACCCACCCATTCTCCCCACTGCATATCCACCCACCCACCCACTCATCCATTCACCCTTCCATCCATCTATCCTCCATACATCCACCTGTCCATCTATCCACCCTCCACCCGCCCATCCATCTATCCATCCATCCATCCATCCACCCATCCATCTATCCATCTATCCATCCATCCATCCACCCTCCACCCACCCATCCATCTATCCATCCATCCATCCACCCATCCATCCATCTAACCTCCACCCACCCATCCATCCATCCATCCACCCTCCACCCA